TCTAACAGAATTTAAACAATATAAGTTATTTTGATAAAATGTAACTATATTTTGTGTATTTGTGCTCACCATATAGCAAGATAAATGCCAGAGGCAAGAATATATACTATAAATGATAAGCAATGATACAATAAGTTGGTCTACATTTAATAAAAATATTTATTGAAGAGAATATCATTTGTGTAATTATCATTTTTAAAATTGTCTTGATTAGCTGCAAACAAAATGTTTAAAATTCTCTATCTACTTTCAAAGATATCTTAGAAGGTCATCTTTCATACCTGTACAGTTTCTTTATCTTGAGTTTTGCTAAAAATACCATAAGATTTGTAATTTCTTTTGAACTTATTGAGCTGTTAACTGAATAAGAATCCTTTTTATTAAATTTATATCAATATAATGTTACATTCCTTGTTTGCATTCAAATGTATCATATCAACAATGTTAACACAATTTTTATACAATAAATAATAAATAACAAATTCGAGATACAAACCTATAGTGAGAGATTTCTTCCTAAATTATATAAAACCAGAATATTATTAACGAATATAATGATGAATTTGTTTTTTCAACTGCACAATTCTAAATTCATATATACCTGAAACTTAATTATCCATTCATGAGACTGGAAGACAGAAGATATATCAATCATTCAATGTACCCCTTTAACTCAGTCTCATAATTACTTGAACAAAGAATTTTGGTACTTACGTTTAAAAAATGGGATACATACCAGTACTTTTTTGCTTAATGCACTTAAAATAAAGTAAACTTTCTCTCATACAAGAAGTAATGCTTAGCAAAAGTTCCTAACAGTAAGTAACATTAATCTTTGGAAATTTAGTAAAAACAGGGTAATATTGGAGTAAGTAAATAGGGAGTAAAGAGGTCAAACAGGTAGTTCAAATGATTTACTTGACAAGACTTCTACATGACTGATTATGTAAGTTCCTTTTAACTTCAGTGAAAAATGTCTATTCAACATTCACTCAATGATAGATAGGGCTGGAATTGCATTGCAGTATGAACCAGTAACAGCATCAATAATTTCAGACCTAAACTGTCATTATTACATCCACTTCCTTACATAAAATAAATATTTAACAAGTTTTACCAGCAATGGTTAGAATGAATGAATGCTGGGGAATATATAAATAGTTCTGGAGAAATGGAATGTATATTGCTTTTGTCTAATGGACAGATTTCCTACCATGTCAAGAAGTTTGATTCCTTTTACTCTTAACAGTACATAGCAGAAACCTCTTGCCCACCATTATAGAATATGCAAACATACTGGTATGCTACACAATGAGTATACCACGTTTCACTAGTCTCTTCAAAAAACTCATGCTCTACTAGATCATACCAGCTTCAGCACAACATTCCTTTACAGTATTTAATCCCATCCTCTGCAGATGTAAGATAATGATGAAAAACTAAAAACAACTAACAATATTCATGTGTGATGATCATGACAGATGTACACTGATGATTAATGAGGTTATGCAGTAACTGCTTTAAAGCCATGAAAATGAATGTGCAGAGCTACCCATTATAGAGGAGAGGAACATATTTTTGGATGAATTAAAAAATACAGTTCATGAAGATTCTGAAACTGTACTGCAACCACTACCAGCCCTAATCGAAGTGTACATAGAGCACACTTAACACAAGTTCATCATACACACACCATCATCCCTGCTTCCTGTGCTAGAATTAAAGATAAACAAATATTTACAAATCTTAAATATATGTACATATGTGAACATGCTGGGCAAATAGTGCCAACATAACAAAATACTAAACAGTATCTTTCTACTCTACAAGACCATATAAAACACTTGGTACGAAGGAGACCACTGTGATGTAGATTTATAGTTATCATTTCATGTAAAAATGTCCAGTCTCTCCAGTTTGTTTTTCATTCTGCATTCAAGTACAACATAGGAAAAAATTGTTATTTGAAATGTTTAAGAAGCCTAAAAAGTTCTCTCTGTTCATGTAATGACCAATAGCAGATCTAATTTTTTTTCTCTTTGTGACTAATATTTTACATAATGACACAAAAAGAACACAACATACACTACATCCCCTAACATACATTGTAAAATAACATTTATTACAAAGGTGAACCATCCAATCATTTTGAGGATTTTTGTCATTTTTCTCTTTTTGTATATTCCTTTATTTCATCATTCTCATTTTGTATTTCTGTTGCCAGATGCCCAATAATGAAATTACAAAACATGCAGATTTTCCTTCAAAATTTAATGACATGGCATGCAGAATATATTTATTAGACTTTCATTATAAAAGCATTAAACCTTATGTGTTCAGCTTACAAGTAACTTTCAAGTGCCTGATAAAAGTTCTAAAGATAACATACAATGCCAGTGCTTTATCATATCAACAATAATGAACCAATGGGAACAGTGCACTCATTAACAAATAAATTAGGTTCTACATTCAACTTTGACACATGAAACCTGAATCATTCAAGCATTAGGTATAGGTTCAAAACTAACTGCATCCTCTATGATTTGTATCTTCATGTTTAAGTAGAGGACAAAATTAAAAGGTAAAAATGCAAAGTCATTTGCACTTATAATTATAAATGTGAGTTGAGCATGTGAGTATGATTTGTAGTGTAAATGCAAGTACAAAACTGAGACAACAAGTGAGTGTGAGTATGAGTAACAAGAAAAATATATAAAGTATAAGAAAAGAAATGTGTACATGTAGGCTCACGTGTGAAAATGTACACAAATATGACATACAGCTAATGGCTAGAACTTAATGGTCTGGTAACATAAATGAAAATCATCAGGTAAAGATATCAACCATAGAAAGAAATACAATCAGCTTTGAATAATCACAATAAACAAGCAATAGCTCGGACAGCCTTATACATAAGTAGTAATTGCACTGAGTTGTGTGTGTTGTACTTGTTCATCCTTTTCAAAGGTATAACCAACTTTCATTAATGCACTTGTATATGGTCACAGGTTCACATCCAGCACATGCACCTACAAATTCACACAAACACACATATGAATACATATATGCACACATACAAACACACACACACACACACACACACACACACACACATACACTCAAAATTTAACCCTACTTTTGGTAAGATCTGTTGCTCATTCAACACAAATAATATCTTAAGGTTCTGTATCACGACAATTTGTACAAATAAAAATTAAACATAGAGCTAAAAAATTAAATTATTGGCAACATCAACTATACTAAAAATAATTAATGATAATAATAATAATTATAATAATAATAATAATAGTAATAATTATAATACATCAGAACAATCAGGAAGTCTTCAAAAATCACAACAATTGCAAAAGCTTAAATGAGGGAAAAGCTGCCATCAGGTAACACTCCCCTTCCCTTTTTGTCTGCACATGAACACCAGCCGTTCCACAGGCTGTTCATATTTTTTGTTTTTATACATAGGGATTAAAGTGAAAAAAATAAAAAGAAAGATCTGATGCTACACTCTACACATGACAATGGCATCCTGACTTGTATTAGTAACTTTTTCTGGTCTATATTCCTCCCATCACATATTTAGCAAGGAGCAAAAAGAAACAATGGAAGATGAAAAATATATAATAACAAACAGGAATGTAATCTCTCCACACTAAAGTGGAATGACTATCAGGTTGAAGATGAAAAGCCAAGAAAGTGTACTGACCAACTTGGCAACTGGAATGTCTAAGGAAAAGCACCAAAGAACTGTCTGTATCAAGGTTGGAAAATGTAAGTAGATATCACAACATACTCCAAGATAAACATGAGATCTAACAATTGAAAACTTAAAGGCTGAGAGAAAGAGTGAGAGAGTGACAGCAAAAAATGAGAGAGAGAGAGAGAGAGAGAGAGAGAGAGAGAGAGAGAGAGAGAGAGAGAGAGAGAGAGAGAGAGAGAGAGGAGAGAGAGAGAGAGAGAGAGAGAGAGAGAGAGAGAGAGAGAGAGAGAGAGAGAGAGAGAGAGAAGAGAGGAGAGAGAGAGAGAGAGAGAGAGAGAGGAGAGAGAGAGAGAGAGAGAGAGAGAGAGAGAGAGAGAGAGAGAGAGAGAGAGAGAGAGAGAATATCCAAAATGAAAGAAAAGATTGATGCACGTACATGAAAGCATAAAAGAAAGTTATCAATCCCTCACCATCAATCTATGAAATGTGTGATCACTTCTGCTACTAAATGACTAGATCATGTGCTACCTGAGCACATTTCATTGAACACAAAAAAGGTGGGAGCTTAAGGAATGCATTCCACAGATGGAACAGAACCCGTCATCCATGACTCAGTCACAGATGAGGAAGGATCAATGCATAAACATTTTAAACTATACAAATGCAAAATATAAGCATGCTGATAATATCACTATTTGCCTCAATAAATAATTACTTGTACATTCAGACTTACACTTTTTTTCAAAATCCTTTTTAAAAAAAGAAGCCAATGCTGTACACACACCTGGTAGTACATGAGAAGCTCCCTCTACTCCTGAATACTGCATTTTGTAGCATGACATTATTCTTTAATTTCTGTTCATGTTTACAAAGTTAATCAGCTTTTACAGATATATATATATGCTAACAGACATATATATCTATACTTTTTTCAAATACATATACAATAATTTAAAACAGTTGTATCTTCATAAAAAAGACTAAAAGACAATGTTCCTCCAGTATTATGTTTCTCAAGGCACATTGCACATAGTGCAGAGATTAACTCTGTTAGGCATGCTTTTCTTTTTTTTTCTTTGTTGCACTGAACGAAGATGTTTTCACACATCTGCTAACATCTTCCCTTTGGTTTGCATCCTATGCCTTTTTTTCAACAACTGTAAGGCGTCAATGGCTTGCATCTTTTTTTAAACATAAAAAAGCCACTAAATGTTTCAGGAAGTCACAATATCTCTCTCTTATTTCCTATGTGTTTTTTTATTGTTATTCTTCATTTTCACTTTTATTTTTGCGTACAATACAGCTCTATTCTTGGGAGACGGCAAGACAACTCACCACACTACAGCCGTCTTCCTGCATTGGCCATCTGTCCCCTTTGAGCTCCATCACTCACTGAAAGCCATCTTTCAGAGCCGAAGCGTCATTTCTTGCAGTCGACCACTGCCATACATGACTTGCCGCACACCCGTCATAATGTACGAGGGCTTGTGGGCGGACAATCCCTTGAGATCAGCGAGGAACCATGTTGCGCTCTGCAGCCTGGTATTATCTGTGCTAAGCATACAGCGGGTCAGCCATCCAATGGGGGTCCTAAGTATACCATTGACACCTCTGTGTTGCCATAAACTGCAGAAACAGAGGGATATAGCTGCTTATCTGGCAGACCTGAAAGACAAAACAAATGCATTATAGTTTAATTACATATATGAATACTGATAAGGAAAATGTAAGAGAAGGAGAAATGGAAATGCATCAATGTTTGTCACAAACACTAGATGTTGAAAAAAAAAAAAAAACATTCATTTATTCACTCATTCTACAACCTACTTTCTGACTAATCATACTGATAAAGAGGAAACTACTAAACTTATTTGACAGAGAAAGTATATGCCTATGACAGGAAAAATTCCACATTATTCTCATCTATCTTAGTAGACTCCAAAAACAAAGACATTTTCTCAAATAAACCAAAGAAAAGTGTCAAGTTTACCTCTAAATGCAACGCCAAGAAATTCATAGTTCTTCTCAAATGCTAAAGTGTTGTCGTCACAGTCCAATATCACTCGTATTCTCTCTCCTACCTGTAATGAAATAAAAAATTAACAAAATGCAAAAGTTAGCCAAGTTGCCCATACATTACATTAGTTTCAATTATATGATTTTTTGTTATTTCTTTTGCTTTTGGAGCATATCTTATATTCTTTTTATCCTGTTGTTGATAAATACAACCATAATACTTAATGATTCCCACACCTATAATTTTTTTTTCTTAATCACAAATATATCATGGCTTATCCTGTTTCTATTTATAAATTATTGAAACTTCAGTCAAACCACTCTTCTTTCACACTTATAGATACACAAGCTGACAAAAAATGATTTCATACGCATTTCATTTTTTCATTATCTCGAATGCTTCTGAAAGTATGCACACATTCAAAACCTGTCTTTTAAATATGGAATAAACATTCAAGAACATCTCAATTTTAAATGTGGAGCTAAGCTAAATGATCTGACCAATGTAAATTAAAAATGGATATGGGTACATGTATGATTATATTTCATAATATGTCTTATACAGTAAATGATTACTTCAGCTTAATAACTGCATTATGTTTTTCTCTTTAGACAGAAATACAAATTTCAAGGGGATAAGAAAGTACACCATGGGCTGCTCTATGAGACATACGGAAATTTTATAGCCTTACTATTCAGATGTCTTTTGTTCCAAATGACAATTTCCAAATTCACAATTCTAAAACCCTGACTTTGAGTCTGAATACTGGAGAGGAATGAAGCAGTCTAATAAACCATAGCAGCACAATGATAAAATCTCCAAATCGTGCTGCTGATATTACAAATTTCACTTCTATGCAAAATTAAAGAAATTAGTCTCTACTTTTCATAAATAGTAGATTTTCAATTATTTGATCCTTTACTTATCTTACAGCCAGTCACTTTCAACTTAGGACTGAATTATGATAAATACTGCTGACATAAAGAAAAGTGAAAAAATATAATAAACATCAGACAATCATAGCACTGAAAATATAGCCAAGCCCATGGCCCTTAGGTAATAATCTCTCTCCCAAGGGATCATTTGTCCTATCTCTTCTAATATTCCTGTACTGGAACTGGAAGAAATAATGTTATAAAAGTTCTTTCTGAATCTTTATAACCTGTAAGCCTGGATAAAAATAGGTTATCCAGTTCTTGAAAAATTCTGTAAAAGCAACTGCTGTGAAAATTATATATGTAAAAACAGTCTTAAAGTATTCTTTGAATAATAATAATAATAATAATAATAATAATAATAATAATAATAATAATAATAAGAATAGTAATAATAACATAAACAAAACAAAAAAATACATCTAATAAAAATATCAAAATAAAAAAACAGAAGGAACATATATACCTAACAGTCCATGCAATACACTTGACATCTTGAAGGTTACCAAACTAACATGACTGCGTAGCTGTCACTTGGAATTACTTATATTCTTTAGTATGGCTTCCTGATAAGCATAAATCATTATATAATAAAGTGTCGGTATTTCTTTGCTTTTATGTCAGGTCTAGCAAAAGTCTTGTGATGTATGAAGAAAGTCAATATGTTACAAAAAAATGTCATATTAATTGGGAAGCTATCTGTCAAGTACGTTATCGACAATTAATCATCTTATAAGTCACAAACTAGTTGAATACTTCATATTTCTAATATTTTGTCAATGGGTTAACAAAAATATGTTTTGTATCAAACTGTAACAAGTATATGTGTATATCAAAATTTTCTGCTTCTTTATATATACATAATATACTCATAATAGTACATTCTTCATTCCACTTACAGTTACATACACTTCTTTGCATTAAGCCAATATACTTACGATAACAAATCCATGTACACATTGCCACAGAAGTGTTCAACTGTTTAATGTTCAAATTTCAACTGGTAATATTATGTATACGAGTAGTTAGAGATTAAGTGGAAAAAAGAACATAGTTTATGGCCCTGAACTGCACAGTGAATAACCACCAAGATAACAAACTCCTCCCTGTATATTAGACATTGTCAAATAGGGGGTGAACTAATGTTTCACGAGCATTTTTGGAGTGGCAACCATAAAGTCTCTATATTTTAAAATAAAAGGACCAAAGTCAGAACACACCATAACAAATAAATATGCAAATGTTTAACAGATGATCTGAATGTAACCATCTAGAATACTAGTACCAGGAGTACTTCTGAATGTCTATTTGCATATATATACTTTTTGTTATGTAAAATAAAAGTACACATAAATTATTTACAAAAAAATATGTAAATTGCCAAGTAACTAGCTAAACAATAAGAAACAATGGAAATCTGCCAGTTGGATATATAAGTTGCAAGGTTGTGGTATCTGACTGAAAACCCCAAGGTGCTCTTGACATTTCCATACAGCATCTGCTAGGTGAAAATATCAAATTCACCATAACATGTATAACAGTCACTCAGTGTCAAAGGAATAATGAACATCCATATTCTTAAAGAACTATAAATTTGTAAGAATTTTTTTTAGTTAGAATATGGATATGTGCTAAAATAGACCTGCTGAAGACGTACCAATATTGCAATAACCATTTCTATGCTATGAGCTTTCTGGAAAAAAAAAAAGTTTCCAAGCAGTCACAAGTACAGTAGAGCTTCACAAAAACAGGTTTGTTTGTTTTTCTTCTTAATGTATTGCATATAGAACAACCTACAAATGCCCCCATCTTCCCATTCCCTTGGTACCCACTTTGTCTCCCCAAACTAATTATGGGAGTGCCTCTATTGTCAACTCTGCCTCTATTCTACTTGTGCATGAAAACAGTATGTATAAAATAAGTAGTATCATAAGATATGGCATGTACACCTCAATACCCCCCATCCTCACCATTTCCTTAGTGCTTCCTAGTCTCAGAACCAATCATGTGAGTGCTTAACACTATTGTAAACTGTAGTGAACAAACTCAAAATACAATACAATACAATATTCCCTAATACACAAAAGATTGCCAGTCATACACATTTTTAAAGCAGGTGATAAAAACTAACACCCCATTTCTATGCTATTAGCATTGGCTAAACTACTTGAGAAATTAGCATTAAAACACTTAGAAGAACACTGCAAATGCAATTGGTTTTGTCTCTGGAAAGTCTACCCAATCTGCCCTTGCAGATTTTATCTGCACAGTACTACAATCATTTGATAATAAATTGTTCACACTTGGTATTTTCTTAAACTTTAACAAAGCATTTGATACTGTAAACCATAGAATACTAAAAGGGGAAACTAAATCAGTATGGTATTAAAGATTGGGTCAACAATTGGTTTCCTTCTTATCTATGTTTCATGTGGTAAATGTTCCTCTTCCACTAGTAAAGTGTTAAATGGAGTGCTACAGGGTTCCACAATTGGTCCATATTTTTTCTTACTATGTATGAATGATTTTGTAAACTGTGGCAATGTATTTAATTTTACTTTATATTCTGATGATGCCACCTTGGACAATGCTGGTCCAAACATTAATTTTCTAGTCACCAATACCAACCACAGCCTGAGCCAAGTAAGCAATTTGAATCTCTGTTATAAACTAAATTGAAACACTAATAAAACTTACTTTGTTATATTTCACTGAAACAAAGAGATGCCTCACATCTTACCAGAACAATGATTTGACAGTAAAATTATCAAATGCACTTAAATTTCTAGCTGTTAAAAGTGACCACAGTTTAACCCACTAACGCCGGTAAATTTTGAAACCAAAAATATCGGCCGCGGCCCACAACGGAATCGGAGCGCAAGCTTCAATCCAACGTCACACTGGCGGGATACACGGCAATGTTTATTTTTCCGACACCCGACGTAAATGGGTTAAGCTGAACCCCAAATATCCAAGATATTGTCAGCAAGCCAGTAAGCAACATGGCACCTTGTATCATATTAGAAATGTTCTGTCCAATAAAACCTTCAAACAGATGATTATTTATTAGTATATCTCAATGTTACCTATTGTAATGTTGTATGGACTGGAGTCCCAAAGAATCACATCAGATGTCTGTTTATTCCTCAGAACAAAATTATAAGATGCATTGCCCGCTTGCATACACATGACCACCCCAACACAGCCTTCCAGACCAATGAATATACTAAAATTTTATGAACTAATGATTACTGCTCCTCTACATACATTTGTAATGTTTAAGAAACCCAAATAACACAATGGTCATTTGTTCGTTCATTCAGTCGGTCAGTCCATCTCACTTTCCCTCCTCCCTCTTTCTTCCCCTTCCTCTCCCCCTCCAGATTCCCTCGCCATTACCTTATTATCATTACTGTTAATAACTTTCATCATAATAATTATAACAGTGTTAATAACAATAATAACATTAATAATTATGATAAATAATATTTGACATAAAAACTAGACCTAGCATTTGCTCCTTAGAGCAGGGTTCTCAACCTGGTGGTCACAAGCGCCTCTGTCCTCTAACGGTCTGGCCATGTACTCTCATACTGGTGCTTGTAAACACTTAGTTTTCTATGCATATCACATGCTTAATCTAATGACCAATACAATAATTAACCTTTTAGACCTGGGTGCAATGACCATCATACCATGAAAAAATTTGGCTTGAGGACTGTGTGACATGACCTTGGTTAAGGAAAATTTTGCCTTTGGGCCTGGTAATGGGAAATTAGTGTCATGAGAATTTCGGTTTAAGGGCTCTTGCATTATTCCTATCATTAAATGAGTGTGGAATGTAACAATCCTGTATCATTACTGAAAGAGTGACAGCTCTATGTTGGATGTTTTTTCTATGTTCAGGATCCTATCTGCCACCTTGACCAACAACACAGGGTGTATTACAGAAAATTGAATATTATATAAAAAAATAAAAAATAAATAAATAATAATAATAATAAAAAAATAACATTACACAAATAACAAACTACAATTAATTGTTGTCATTATTGTACAGAGTTACAGACTACCTAGAGATAATACGGAGTCTGTGCAAGGACAAGAGTATTACCATCACATAGAATAT